GACCCAGTTATACCACTCCTTGGCATATACCCAAAGAACTCATCCTATTGCAGAGACACTTGTACATCCATGTTTGTTGCTGCTCTTTTCAAAATAGCTAAGAGATGGAAGCAACTTAAGTGTCCCTCAACTGATGAGTGGTTAACAAAAATGCAGTCTATTTACACAATGGAGTTCTTTTCAGCAGTAAAGAAAGATGAAATAATGAAATCTGCAGGTAAATGGATGGATTTAGAAACTGTTATAAGTGAAATAACAGACTCAGAAAAACAAACGATATATATTCTCCCTCATACGTGGTTCCTGGCACCAAATCCTTTTAAATTCCAGGTCCTTTTAATAAGAAGATGCTATACAGCAGTCCCTTCTGCATAAAATATCTATCATCATCACGACCTCAGCTGAGCCTGATCGCTAAACATAGTCACAATTGGGCTTGCTGACGGTCGTGCTCATTCATTAAAGGAGTGCCAAGCAGGGTCACTGGACCCTCACCTGAGTATCTAGCCACTCTTCCCAGCCAACTAGTCCAGCCTTGGAAGACAAAAGAAAAATGAGGAAGAACTCAATGGAGGGATGCTTTTGGAAGCCCTTGTCAAGAAACTCCAATGGACTCTCATATGAACATTTGAAAATTGCCCTGTTCTGACTTTTTTCTAGTTCCCTGTCTAGAACTTGTAATGTTAATTACTCTTGCCTTTACTTCTCCTTCACATCTCCTATTCATGATTCAAGGACTTTCTTCTTCCCTTTGTGAAAGAGTTATGAAATTTGGGAGTCTTTTAGATAGACCCACTGAAGGGGTACCCCAATTGCCTCACCCTGTATCCCTGTTCAGCATGGAAGAAGCCAGAGTGGTCTATGTCCCTATTCCGTATTGGCAATTTGGGTAACCCCTTCAGAGGATGGCATGATAAATATAGGAATTGGCTAGGCAGTTAGGGTAAAAAGACCCCAAAGAAATGTAGCCAGTTTCTTGGCTAAAGTACAAACGTCCTTTGGCCTGTTAGCAACATACACTGTTCCAAAGGACAAAAATGTCAAAAGCATTTGGGAGCTTGTATCTAATCCTTAAAAGATTTTAGGGTTACCTCCTCAGAGGGGGGAATGTTGGAGGGGAGTGGGCATGGATTAGATCAAAACACCTTATATACATGTATGAAATTCTCAATAAATTTTTTGTAAAAAAAAAAAAAGTACAAAAGATGCTAAAAAGTGTTCTTAGCATTAGTCCTAGGTACCGAAGGAGCACAAAAATGCAAAGGCAACACGTTGTTTGTTCCCCTTTGGGCAAGGTCTTTTGCAATCCAGCCATAAAGCAAAGCACTGGCACAAAGTAGGCAAGACATAGGTGGGAATGGACACCTGGGCCCTCATGGGAAACAGAATGCACTGATCCTGCTCAGTCAAATGGAACCTGACTGAGCTCCATGAGCCTGTTGTGATGCTTGCATTGCTGTGCTGTGGGATGAAGCAGAAAAGAGCAAATGTGAACCAGGCGTGAGGTCGGGCTGAAAAATACTGTTGCCAAGGAAACACTGGGAAGAATTCATGATGCTAGGGAACTGATTTCAGGAACTCTTGAGAAATAAATCTGTTCTCTCCTGATTTTCCTACAATCCTCAGGCATACTGAGATAAGTGGTTGCACAGCAGCACTGCCAATGCACAGGACACCTGAGTACCCACCTGTCAACACCAGTCACTGCTAACAAGCAGGGGGATGCAAACTCTATGACTTCCAACATTTACTTGATTTCATCTGGTGAGCAATCTAAAAAGCTCAGCCACCCAAGAAAGATGCTAAGAGTGGCAGTTGCAGGTACTTTCTCTTTCAAACAGCCAGAGCTTAGGCTGGAGCATAGGTCTACAAGCAGCCCCAGAACGAGTGAGGATGCCCAGACATCCCTCACCAAACAAAGGATATAGATGCCTGCTGAACACATGCTAGCTTGGTCCTCACACCATCCATTCAGAACCCTTTGGGGTTGCAGGGGTTCTCCTGCCAATCTTTAGTGAGGATATTATTAAAGCCAATTTAAACAAAAGATCAGGTTTTATTTGACCACAGTATTTTTAGCAATCCTTAGGGGTTAGAGTACAGAAAAAGACTAAAAAACTTTGACCATAGACAATAGAATGCAGCCTTTAAGAGTGACCTGTAATTTGTGGTGAGGCTAAGTGTTTAATTTGGCTGAAGTGGTAGATGCTTTTGAAATACTTAATTTGTTCTTCAACCACATACTCCATGGTAGATCTAGCAAGGCTGGGTAAGCCTGATAAACAGTAACTAGGATGACACACTTAATTGTGCCCACTGGAAATTCAACAGCTCATAGTGTGTCCTTGGGTTACTTGAACCTTTTGGGGGGAAAAAAGGTCAAATAACTATTCATTTGGAAGGTGGCTAACCTCAGGGACACAGAAGAGTCACCGCTCTGTGCCATGGAAGTGAGATCTGGCAGGCTAAAACCCTGGCCTCTCTGGAGCCCTGGCAAAGCTGCAGCCAAGTGGGTCTCCCAAGACAGCTTAACTGAAACCCAGCCAAGAACTTTTCCAGACTAGAACCCACTGTGAGAAAACCCCAAATTTACTGTAAAATAATCATGTTAAACTCGGAATAGCACATTCTCTTTATAAACTGTAAAGCTACAAAACTGGGTAAAGGTTCTCCACAATCCATTTGTCTCAAATGAATTTTCAAGGTTTAACAGATACTTGTTTTTACCTTAGGGCAAGAATTCTAGTTTATGGGAACAAAATTCTTCACATGCAAACACACACATAGGCCCTGAAATGAAAGCCTCTGAAAGCTGGTAAAAGCAGTCACCATATGCAAACACACGCATACTGAAGAATTCTGTTCATTTTGGTACTTCCCTGACCCTTAACTTCCAGGGTGCTCAGTCATACTTTAAACACAGTGGTGGCAGTTTTAACCTTTTGTGTTTTCACTGATCTGGTTTCTCTCCCCTTTCTGTTCAGATTTTGTTAGCATCATATTTCATGGCTTGATATGCTATATTCAAGTTTTTAGGAAAAAGGCTAAATATATTTTAAATATATTTCAAAGCCAGACCAATAAAGCAAACAAATACTGCAAATGATTTTGGAAAATGAAAGAGAATATCTTTGCTTTCACAGTATGACCACAAAGCAGCATTTTAGAACTGCTTAAATTAAGACAAAATATATCTATTAAAACACACAAAGAGTCGCTCCATTCCTTGATTTTGGCAAGAACAGATATAGTCCCTGAGTAAGACTTCATTAGTCCCTCACAAGTGGAGAGAGCCTGGCGCAAGACTAGAGCTGTATATGCTTAGCCATGTGAAATGTAAGTCTGTAGATCTGAGCACCTCAGTCTCCCCCCTTTTAACATGTGCATAGTCACTCCCCCACCCCACTACAAAACTCACCCTGATGAGGCAGACTCTCAGAAGTGCACTTTAAATGTAAGATATCAGCATAACACCTCAGACACTGAAGAGATTCTTTTTCAGGAGCCTAAGGACTTCTTTATACCATGGCCAAAGTCTTCCTTTGTAAACTCTTGAGTTTCTGTGGCAACAGCATAATATAGTCGGGGCAGCTACGTAACCACTCAGAGATGCAGTCCCCAAAGAATGAAAGAAGGCATTTGTGTACAAAAAAGATGATTTATAGCAATTTCATTTTTTACATTAAGATGTAAACATCCTCTTATCCAAAACAGCTAGTGGAAAAAGAGAGAGAGAGAGAGATTATGTACCAAACACTATAACTCAATTCAGTGATAAGGAGGTAGCTCCTGAACCAAAATGGTAAACGAGCTATAAGATGCCCATACACAGCAAAACCACAATTAACCAGGAAGCTCCAACTTCTCAGTTAACTATTTACAAAAAAGCTCTTCTGTTTTGCCCACTGCCCTTTCTAAATTGAACCACTTTACTTAAAAGCCATACACAGCCAACGTGATGATCTAGGATCATGTGATGCCTTAGGGTATCTCTCGGAAGGTACATAATATCTGTGCAGCTTTTGTTAAAGACAGCAACCTGGTCTGACCTGGAGTTTCTGATTTTAAATAAACCCCTGGCATCATAAGACAACTACCTTCCTTCTACCCCATCTTCCTAAAAAGGCGGGTAGCAAAGGTTCTCTCTGTAAAGATCTTACAGCTCTGTATGTGTCCATACACAGTGGTTTATAATAACAAGGCAGTTTAATGACTTCATCCTCTAGACTATTTATTTCTTCTACCAAATAAATATGCAGACCAACAGGAATTACATATAGAGGTCGACTGCTTTAGGGGATGATATCAAATATGGGAATCCCACACGTTCCTTGTTTGGCATAATTTTTCCTTAAAAGCAAAGGAAAATCACTCACGATGACTTCCAAACCCTCCAGGAGACTTGTAGATTTTTACAGAGAATGAAGCTGTGCTTCCACATTGTTAATTCAAAATGGCATAAATAATCTAAGGTACTCAGAAAGTAGGTCCTTTCAGATACTAGGTGCTTGCCTCCCCAAAGCTCTAAGTAACAAGAGTTGTGAAGAAATCCCCTTCTGATTCTCCTAGTGCTCCCAGAGTGCAGAGCAGACCTATGGGACACACAAGACGGTTCTGGGTATAAAACACAGAATTAAACAATGCTGCGTCACAGTGAAAACGCCATTGCCTTTGTGATTTTCTTTCATCCTCTGATTATTTCATAGAGGAAGCCTCCTTCTGGTGCCAGGTAACAACTCTCACTACCACAAAGAATACATCTCTTAGATTTACAGGCCTGACAGGCATCAGTATCTTGTTAGAAGTTAGGAACATTTTTGTGTATGTGTTGGCAAAGTGATACAAAAGTGATACTGGTTTTCCACTTGAAGTATGGTTCGTTAATTCTTAAAATACTTCTAAAAACCTAAGAAAATAATAGCATATGTAGAACCCAAATGACAAGAGTTTGGGGGACCATAGTTGTCAAACAAATCATGTATTTTTAAGTGATTTCAAAAGAAATGACAACATGGTCTAGAAAGGAAACACGTCACTGTGCTGTCAAGCGTCTGTGATACTCCACAGATGTACTCATCACAGCTTTCTCCCATGCCAGGTGGCTTTCAGAGTTAGAACTTGGCAGAAACAGAAAAGTACAAGAATCAATTTCACGGCACTCTGGACTTCATAAGCTCTTGGTACTACAAATGTGCAAATAATCTGCTATTTAGTACAGTCATTATTTTAGGACATAAACTTCCCAATTCCTGCAGCATCTTTTTACTTGGTCTACATTAGTGCTTCACAAAGGCAAACTCAGGCTGTAGAGTTCCTGCTTGGTTCTCAGAGCATGTTTCATGCCTAGGTTGTGGTTGAGCTATATGGTGAGAATTCATGTTGCCTCCCAGGTCTTCCAATGAGAAAGCCCTGGCATTCCATTTCCAAGATACTTCCAAGAGGCATTTCCTAGCAGGCTTACATGCTCCTAGGCATGCCATGCTGATCTGTAAAAAAGAAGGGAGGGTTGGAGAGAAAGCCAGCAGAGCTTCTCATCTGTGCTGACTGGGTTCTTCATCACAGTGGCAGTGGCAGTTAAAATATGTTCCCTCCTTTTCCCCCTGAAGCCAAGGCAATGCATGTGAAGGGCATCGTCAGACATCATAGTCGGGAGCCTTGCCTTGGGCTTGCCTCAGCCAGATCTGTAGTGTAACAAATGCTCCCACTGTCACATGAAAGAAAAGCTGCCAGAGGTTGCGCAGTTCATAGAGATACATGTTGCATAGACAGATTAAGCCAAAAGTCAAAAATGATTTGACGTTTCGCCAGCTGGTGTAGTAGACAAGTAAATAACACTGTTCAAAACACAAAAATGAAAGATGGTTAGGGTTATAAGAAATAGATGCTTCTAATATAAAATTATAACAGTGAAATATGAAAAAATGAGGATATTTTTCTTTGAAGAATAAGATAACATAACATATCCAAGATATTCAGTCATGAAAATTCTACAGTTTGAAAGGGAAACAGATTTTCCCTTTTATGCCTTCCATTTTTCAGAAGAAAACCATTTTGTATCACATGTTAAATGGAAGTACAATTGGATGACTCCCTTGCAAAACAGACTGGGGAAATTCTCCAGGGTGACAGTAACCAAGATATACTGCTGGGCCCTTAAGAGTTCTCCATTCTCATCCAGAAGAGTACAGAGAGCCCAACACACTACTCAGTCAATGCACTCTCCTAGAATGCCGGTCTGAGTGCTAAAGAACTTGTTTAGTGAACAGCTGAGTGACTACCTACTGTAAGCGGCCAAGAATCAGGCATTGTTCTTCAGTTGTGACTCAACAAACCAAGCCCTTGCTCAGAGGAGCTCACATTTGAGTGGGGCAGGGTTATTAGCATATTTTTGTCACATAATTTCAAGAGTTGTATGTTAAAAAGATGCCCCTGTCCTGCTTTACTTTTCTCCACAGCATATTAAAGCATGCATACTGTTGCCATCCATAGCCTGCCAATGCAATCTGTTTCGCAACAAAACTCAATGAATGAATGAATGAATGACTTCCTAGAATTTGTCTTAAATTTACAGTGTGGAAAGTAAAGGAATTATGTGTGTTCACAAAGTTTTAAGAAAGAAGCATGGGTTGGAGAGATGGCTCAGTGGTTAGCACTGACTGCTCTTGCAGAGGACCCAGGTTCAATTCCCAGCACCCATACAGCAGCTACGAACCATCCTTAACTCCAGTTCCAGGGGAATCCGATGCCCTCTTCTGACCTCCGTGGCACTGCATGACATGGGTGGACTCACATACATGCAGGCAATATACTTATACATATAAAATAAAAATAATAATAAAATATTTAAAGAAGCACAAGTTTCTGTGAAACTGTATCCAGGCTTCAGAATGAGAAGAATGTAAAGATGTTTGTATCATACATATTTAGTTCTTTTACAAATGATTTTGTTTACTTAAAAAGAATGGTTTGTAAGGCGTACTCAAGAGGTAGAGAAGCAGGTGGATCTTTGTGAGATCAAGGCCAGCCTGGTCTACAGAGTGAGTTCCAGGTCAGCTCGGGCTACTGGGAGATCCTGTCTCAGAAAGATTCCCCCCTCCCAAAACACAAAAATACATAATCCTGGATGAAGGGGAAAAGAATATTTTGTAGATAAGTGAAATAATGTGAATAGTAATCTTCTATTAGATAATATTGTATCAGGGACTGCAGAGATAACTAAGTTGGTAGTGTCTTCTATGCAAGCATGAAGACCCAAGTTCAGATCCCCAGCATACCCATAAAAAGATGGATTTGGTGGTGTACACCTGCAATCCCAGCACTCAGGAGGCAGAGACAGGAGGATCTTTGTGAGATCAAGGCCAGCCAGGTCTACATAGGGAGTTCTAGGCCAGTTGGGGCTACAGAGACCCTGTCTCAAAACAAAACAAAACAAAAAATGAAAGAATGATTTACTATCTACATGAAATGAATTAAAAATGTGTCTAATGTCTAATGGTGACTTAATAGCGATTTTTCTATTTCCATCATTCTTTCTACACTTATAAACTAGAATTCTACTGTAAAGAAGAGCTTTTGGGGGGCTGAAGAGACAGCTCAGCAGTTAAGAGCACTGGCTGCTCTTGCAGAGGACCTGGGTTCGATTCCCAGCACCCACATGGCAGCTAACAACTGTCCGTAACTCCAGTTCCAGGGGATCCGATGCCCTCTTCTGACCTCCATGAACACTGCATGACATTATAAAAAGGAGAGCTTTTCAGTTATTAAAAATATTTAATTGATGGTTTTAAAGACTATAAATGGTAATGGTCTCTAGTCCATAGATTGCTTATTAATTATACAGAAGATACCTTTGCATTGTCCAGCAGACACCACCTTGATCAAACTTATTATATGCTTCCTGAGTGAATAATGAGACATAATTGTCATAGAGATGAAAGGCTGACTCACATAAGACACATACAGTATACTTACTATATAGTGTCAAAGTGTTTAACCTGAATTAAGAATTAAATCAATCCAGATAATGGGCCATTCTATAACATTCCTGCTTAGGAGACATAATTGTGTCATAGAGATGAAAAGCTGACTCACATAAGACACATACACTGTACTATACTATATAGTGTCAAAGTGCTTAAACTGAATTAAGAAACAGATCAATCCAGATAATGGGCCATTCTATAACATTCCTGTTCAGGTTTTTTTTTTTTTTTTTTTTTGAGGCAGGGTTTCACTATGCAGTCCCAGCTGGCCTGGAACTCAAAGCGCCTCTGCCTCTGCCTCCTGAGCGCTGGCACTAAGGGTGTGCATCACCACACCTAGCCTGCTTAGATTCTTAAGAAAAATTCGTTTTATGAAATAAAAACAAAATAAGAACAATAAACAGGCCAGGAGCCTATTACAGATTAAAAGATGTACAACCAAACAATATAAAATCCTTGATAATGAGGGAAAGAGCAGTAAAGAATATTTTGTAGATACAGGAAATAATGTGAATAGTAATCTTCTATCAGATAATACTGTACCAGGGACTGTGGAGATGGCTCAGTTGATAGAATGTCTTCTATGCAAGCATGAAGACCCACATTAGGCTCCCTAGCACCCACATAAAAAACTGGATTCGTGGTATATGCACGCAATCCCAGAGCTAGGGAGGCAGAGACAGGTAGATTCATAGAGTTCTCTGGACAGCTAGTCTAGCCCGACTGGTGAGTTCCAGGTTCAATGTGAGACTTTGTCTCAAAAAGATAAGGTGAAGAATGATTGAGGGAGACATCCAATGTTGACCTCTGGGCTATCACACACACACACACACAGATACATATGCACACACACACATACACGCATGTATCAGTGTTAATCAATGTCAACTTGTATGTGACATGGTGCCGTGGCTATATGGAAGGATGTGCAAGTTCTTAGAAGATACATGCTGAAGTATTTAAAGGTAAAATGTGATGTTGGTAAAACCAACTGTACAGAAACTTCTATATCTGGGAAGATAGTGTGAATACTTTTCTTTACTCTTCCTGAAGAGTATAACCCAAAACTTTGGGCATCATACATGAAAAAGCATTAGCTGACTGGGTTGAGGACTGAGGAGATAGCTCAGCAGTTAAAAGTGCTCACTGCTCTTTCCAAGGATGTGAATTCAGTTCCCAGAACCCACATCTGGTGACTTACAACTGCCTGTTATTCCAGCTCCAAGGGATCCAATCCCCTCTTCTGGCCTCCATAGGCACCTGTATACATGTGGCATATACCCACACAGACACAGACACACGAATAAAAATAAAAATAAATCTTAAAAAACAAAAAACCAGGAAGACGGCCAGCAGGCAAAAGTGCTAGCTAGCTATGTAAACCTGAAAACCAGACAATTGAAAACGTGTTATTTGTTAAAATGTAACTCGAAAAAGCAGTTATCACTCTTTCTGCTCAGCATTTATGAAAAGCAGGCAGCTTAATACCCATCTATCTGAAAGAAGGTGAACTGCTTCTTTCTTAAAGCATGAATTTAGTTACTTCAAGTAAAAAACACCTGACGTGACACTGCTCTGCCATAAGGCAACTCTTAGAACTGCTGCAGTCTGTTCTGGTCTTGTAAGACCGGTTCTGGACTAACACAGTTATAAAAGTTCACATCACTAACTAGCTGTAAGAACTGTCTAGACATCAGTGGGCAAAGTGGCTCTGATCAAAGGATTACTTGGGGCTTTCTGTGAGGATTTAATGATGCAATGAATGTAAAGGGCTCAGTGAAACTAAGAGGTCAATAATTCTGCCATTATTATTAGGCACTTAAAATTACCTTCATAAGGTTAAGCAACCAAAGCTTTTATAAGAATTCATGAAAACTGTTAAAGTTTGATTTTAAAATCAAATCAGATGCCAGTTATAAAATTATACCTTTATAACACTAAAAATTGTTCAAATTAGGACTGTTGATTTAGCTTGGTGGGATGAACCTCGGCTCTAAAATCTGAAAAGTTAAGCCTTGGCTCTGCAGTCTCAGGACAGTTCTGAAACTGCTTCAGTAATCTCATTTTCAGAAATGACAAGACAGTAGGGAATAAAGTAGGAAGTCTACACGAGGATATGTTATGAAATGAAAGCACCATGTGACATCATCAAATATAAGCTTTCATGTTACCTGTATAAAATGTCATTTGTTTTAATGACATCTGTCAAATTTGACAGAAAATTTCTGAAGATATTTAGTTAAGAAATGAAAAGATTTTTAAAAGTAGGGCCACTAAACTAAATTTTCTAATGTATGTTTATGTAAAATTCAAATTCCTAGATTCATAAAATATTTCCCTAAAGATATCTACAGAATTTTTAGTAGCCTTAGCTTTGCAGTTCTAAATTTTTCTATCTTTACTTTTCTTTATTTCCTATATAAGCTAGAGAAATGTGTCACTTGTAAGTTCGGTCAAGGGGCCTAACATGTCCTAACAAAATCATACCTGAGTTTGGGGCACTAGAATGGCGATTCCTCCCTTCCTTCCCCTGGCCTAGGAGGAGCTAGCAGCAGTCTCCACACCAGCAAAGCACAGTCTTCCCTCCTCAAGTTTCCTAGCCATTCTGTTTCAAGTACCAGCCAGTCTTCCTTCTCAGTGGCAATATTTTCCTACCGCTGCTGTCATGACCACAGTTTAAGCCCTTTACTTTCTGCCTGAATTATTAGAATCACCTCCCAACTGGTTTCCTAACTGCCAGTCTCTGTACTTATAATCCATCCTATTCATCTCTGCTAACTTAAATACCCTAAAATGCTACTTTGCTATATCACTCTTATTCAAAGACTTTCTCGAGAGCACAGAATCCTCAGCCTGGAGTATAAGCAGCGTCTGGAGGCTCCATACTTACTTACCAGCAAATCTAGAAGCAACCTTCATTGTCATAGGTACATGCTGTGGCACCTCTGAAGTGCCAGGACAGACAGAAGGTCAAGAATGAGTTCACTGGGGACCTATGTCCACTCGAGATGGACATGCAGGTTACAAATATAACAGAGGCTCAAATTAAAAGACAGGCAAATTACTCAGACACCATTTAATGTATTTAAGATGCACAGGCAATTATTAGACTTGACACTGGAAACAAACAGTAACGAGGAAGTGTTTCTTACAAATGGGAGAAAACCTACCTGGTAAAGGCAGGCTGCTGTTCCAAGAAAAAATGCAATGATATAATTTAAATCCTCACCATCGCTCTGTAAAAAACAAAATAAAGATTACCTTCTCATCTGACAGCACCTAATTCAGAAAATAATCTACTAGGACTGGATATGACAATGTTTATGCACAGTAAAAAGTGTTACACAGTGTTATGTAAAAATGGTAAGTCCTCAAATGGAAACATAAAATACATGGTAAGATGGAAGGGATGGGAGGTCAAGGAAGACTACAAAGGTTCCTCTGTGTCTTGGCCTCCCTCAAGGGTTGCATTTCATCCCAAAGAAGATGAGAATCACTGTAGAAACTTAGTTCCTTCACAATGCACAAAGCCTCTTCTTCCTGCTAAAGTCACATAAAAAAGCAAACACCCAGCAGATGACCAACTTCCTCCTGCTTACACAGGTAACCACTTCAATAAAAACTGACACAATTTACTACTTAGTAAGCACATTGTCCAATAAAGTAACTTGGCATGATAAAAAACAAAGCTGTGACAACTGAAAAGCTACTGTCCACTAGAGTGTGCTAAATCCCAATGAGAAAAATCAGGGCTGGTTAGCAATGTCTGCTGTACTAGAGAGAAGAGCCCAGAGGAAGGAAGGACACTCAGTGTGTGAACTGCTTCTTGGAAAAGAAAACAGACAACCACTTATGCTGGCCTGTTCCCTTTCAGTTCCGATTGGACAGTTGCATTCAACTTCTTTCAGTGTATTTATGAAGTAGAATGTAAAATCGGGGCGGGAGTATTAAATTTTTTTCTTCCATGCAAGAACAAGACACTAGGCTGATTTTCTTATTTAAGGAAAAAAAAATGTTTTTGAGATAGGATTTTACTATGTAGCTTAGGCTAGCCTCAAAGGCTCAGTCGCCTTGCCTTGGCTTCCTAAGTGCTAGGATTACAGGACAGTGCCAACCAAACCTAGCCTAGAAAAGAAATAGCCTTATGTAATGAAAAATATTCACAAGGCACAGGACTGTCTTCTCTTGGCAAGTTTTCTTTTGCTACTTTTCTACATCACTCTTATTTTTATTTTTCTGTTGAATTTTTGTGTAATTCATACAGAACATCTCAATCAATCTTAAGTCATCTTTATACCCCCTGCCACTGGAACCCTCGCATTGCCCCCCTCCACACACTGGAATCCATACATTCTGTCAATTATGTTAAGGCCTATCATGGCAAATTAGTGTTTCCAGACATTCTTCAGTGCAAGTTCATCTACTGATGTCTAGTCAGCTCATCTAGAGTCTCTCGCTTTAGGAAGATCAGCTCTTCTTTGCCTAGCAGTAATCAGTTGCCAATGTTTTTTCAGCTAAGACTGGGGATTGTTGTCCATTTCCCCAGTTCTGTGCTGGGTTTTTATCTGCTTGAGTTTGCATAGGTCTTGTGCATGCTGACATCATTGCTTCCTCCCCTGGCTCTTACAGTCTTTTTACCCCCTCTTCCACAATGGTCCCTGAACCCTGGGTGGGTGAAGTTTAATACAGGAATCCTGTTCAAGGACTAGCATTCTTCAGACTCTTTATCTCTACACTTTAGCCATTTGTGAATTCAAGAAATTTTCAGGTAAATGGATGGAACTAGAAATTGTTATAAGTGAAGTAACACAGACTCAGAAAAACAAACGATGTATGTTTTCCCTCATATGTGGATCTTAGCACCAAAACTTTATATACAAATATCCCAGTCAACACTCATCAAAGAAACTTCTTTTGTACCAGATGGAGACTATTAAAGAGTACCACAACTGGTCACACACAGACATTGTGAATTGGCCACTTTTCTTAAGATAGTACAAAGAAGAAATTCTTTTAGTGCAGTCAAGGTGCAGAATGGTCAGTAAGGCAGTGAGAGTGGTTTATCCTAGTGAGATCTTAAAACAGGACCATGAATCTGTCTGGGATGCTCAGACCAGTTCTGCCCCAGAGGCAGGGAAGGTCAGCATGAAACCTTTCCACTTTTGTAATTCCAAAACTTTAAATAAGTTCTGCTAGTTTTTCAGTCCCTTTTATCTAATCATAAAAGTTATGTGGCTGGAGAGATGGCTCAGCGTTTAAGAGCACTGACTGCTCTTCAGAGGACCTGGGTTCAAGTCCCAGCATCCACATGGCGGCTATGAACTGTCCTTAACTCCAGTTCCAGGGGAATCTGAAGCCCTCTTCTGACCTCCGTGACACTGCACGACATAGGTGCACTCACATACATGCAGGCAATACACTCATACACATAAAAACAATAAAATATTTTTTAAAATAGTTATGTTCTGGCCAGTCGTGGTGGTGCACGCCTGTAGTCCCAGCACTTGGGAGGCAGAGGCAGGTGGATCTCTGTGAGTTCAAAGCCAGCCTGGTCTACATAGTGAGTTCCAGGACAGCTGGGGCTACAGGGAGATCCTGCTTCAAAAAGACAAATAAATAAATAAATAAATAAAGTTATGTTCTGTGTAGAAAACTGTGGAAGATATAGATAATACAAAGGAACCCAAGTACTTCATAAACTCATACTCTGGGAGAACTACTGCTTTTGATTCTCTCCCTCTCTTTCAAAAGAAACAGAATGATACTTTTATATACTGCTTTTCAGTACTTTGTGTTATATCATAAGCACTTTCCCAAGATAGTAAATATTTTTCAACCAAAGAATGTGTAAATGATTGTACAACCTTTCATTATTCAGGATATAACATGACTTAATTATTGTCCTATAAATGGATATTAATTTTCTCTAAATTTACACTGTTATTTGAAAACTCTAAAACATCTAAAGTCAGACTGACCTGCACTCAAATCTTTACTTACAAGCCATATTTTTGATTAACTTTATTCTTTTTTAAAAAATTATTTATTTAATAACCATATAATTAGAAGAAGCATTTCATTATAACAGCATTGACATATTCGATAACAATTTCTGGAGCTAAGATGCATCTCTTTCAAAATTGGCTGTAAATTTTTAGGTTTACAAGTTGAATTGATACAGTTCTACAATATTGTACTCCGTATAACCCCTATAAGACATAAAATTAAATGAGGTTTTTAAGCTTTAAAAAAGATCTCCATTTCATTATTAAAATACAGTTTCATACAGAAAATAATTTATTCTTTGAAAAATAAAAACATTATTTATGCTTTGAAGTAGCTATGTCAAACACTGTAAGAGTTTGATAATCTCAGAATACTGGTGCTTGTGGAGTCTAAAACTTCTATCCTGCAGGATGGAGGACATGATCCTGGAAACCTATGTCAGCTAAGGAGCAAATGGGATACAGGTCTCCTGACTTCCAGGTGAGCATTTCTACTGCAGTCACATGATTCAATTTTTTTTCTAATGTGCCATATGAAAATCACTTCTGGGTTGGCATCAGCTTAATTGGTATCATTGCTTCAAAACTGATCCCTAAGAGAACCTATGCAAAATAAACAATGATAAAAGCTTATGCATTCATAGTGTCAACTCACAATAACCTTATTAACATCTCTAAACTCAGAACAAAGTTAAGAAGCAAGTGAAAATAATCTAATTTACACATCATTGAGAACACAAAATCAAATTTACCAACTTAAAAACTATACCCATTTATACTTCTTCAGTTTGAACTTATATACCAAAGAAAAACTTCAGTGCCTCATATTTTAATAAATCTCTATCACACTAAGAAGCAGTTATTAATCTGGGATAAACAAAACTTGTGCTGATTTTTTTTTCATTTTTAAAAGTGTTTTCTTTCTGTGTGTGCACACATACACACAGTGCATATGGGTGAAGGTCAGAGGAAAACTTGTAGGAATTGGTTCTCCCTTTCCACCCTGTGGGTCCTGGGAATTGAACCCAGGTCCTCAGGTTTGGCAGGAAGTGCCTTATCAGTTGAACCATCTCATTGACTCGTGCTTAATCTTTAAACAACATTAACAATATTCGGAAATGTTGATTTTGAGTCCTCAAATTTAAGAGTATCTCAAGCACAAAGTTATAGACTGGAAGATAAATGTAGCAATCATTTTTAACATTTAGAGTATTTAGAATTCTTGGTTTTAAAAATGTAAACTTTAGGGCTGGAGAGATGACTCAGCAGTTAAGAACACTGGTTGTTCTTGCAGAAGACCTGGGTCCAAATCCCAGGACCCACATGGCAGCTAACAACTATCCCTAACTCCAGTCCCAGGGGATCCAACAGCCTCTTCTGACCTCCACAGGCATTGCACGACATGGGTGCACTTACCTCCATGCAGGCAATACATACATACACATAAAATAAAAATAATAAAATTTTAAAAAATGCAAACTTCAGTATCTATATATTATTCACACTCAGGAAATATATGACATATTTCTCACTAGATCTAAAATTATAATTTCCAAATAAATCCTTTACTCTTAAGTCAAGTATTACAGAAATATTGAGGTCACTGATTTTGGGACTGCCTTTCTCCCCTCTCTCACTACCAAGATCTAAGCAACTCCATTCAGAAAATTCCTGAGATTTGTACATAATTCTACAGAGGAGACAGACAGCCTCAGAAACACCTACTTTAACTGAAAATTATCTATGGTGATTGTAGAGATTGTTCCTAAGACAAAACACAATGACAAACCAGAAAGACTAATAGAATATCTTAGGTCCAATGGCTACAGAGAAGATAAATTTACCTTCTATGCAAAAATATAAATTGTAAATCAAGTAACTCTCATGGGGGAAATGAAAAGTGACAGACATCAGGTCACAGTTTTACTTATGTGTTTCTTTCAGGTTAAATGTAGATCTTTGCCCTGGTGGCACTTTTCATGCCAAGCTGTGAAGTCTCCCAATCCCATCCCACTGTGGGGGCAATGTAACTGACTTCCAGCTCCACACACTGGGATACCTGTCACCTATTTATTAGTATCTTAAATTCCAAGAATACTCTAGAAAACACTCTTAAAAAACCAAGAGGAAACCATGAAGAAATATTTTAATTATTGAAATTATAATTTAAACCATGGCTACATCAACGAATCTGGATATGGGGGCTCAGCTGATGGTGGATGAGTGCTTGA